GACTGAGCCTGGTTTCTCCCAAGGTTTTTTCTCCATTCTGTCACCGATGGAGTTTTGGTTCCTTGCCTCTGTCGCCTCTGGCTTGCTTAGTTGGGGACACTTAATATCCAGCGATACCGTCGACTTGATTGCACAGATACTATTTAAACTGAACTGGATAATGACATCACTGAATTCGATGATGAACTGCCTTTAACTGAAAATTGAGTGTTTACTATTGACATTTTGCATTATTGACACACTATTTTCCTATTTCATACTGTAAAGTTGCTTTGACACAATCTGTATTGTTAAAAGCGCTATATAAATAAGGTGACTTGACTTGACTTGACTTGACTGCTGCGGCAGTGGGACGTAGGGATGAGTTGGAAGTAGAGATACAGGCTCCTGCTGGAGCGGGCACTGCTGCGGCAGTGGGAAGTAAAGATACAGGCTCCTGCGGGAGTGGGCACTTCGGTGATATCTGAAAAGAAACTCTGGCTCCTGGGTACCGCTGTGGCATCTGAAGGGAGAATGTTGCTTCTGTGGAAGCGGGCACTGCTGTGAAATCTGAAAAGAGAATGTGGCTTCTGCAGAAGCGGGCACTGCTGCTGTGGAAATGAGCTGATGTTAAAGGACTCAGCTGATGAGGGTTCGGTGAGCTTCTTTGATATGGAAGTGGTCTGACTGGATGTAGGTCTTGAAGGCCTCTGATGTCCAGCGGCCGAGTGCCTGGATCTGAGGCTGGGAGAGGCCTTTTTGGGCAGCTGTGGTAGCTGCGCCTATGCGGAAGGAGTGGCTGGAGTAATGATCTGCTGGGATGCTGGATAGCAGTAGAATGGACTTGAAGATGTAAATTAATTGGCCTCTTCTCGATTGGTCTGTCTTGCTTTGCTTAATAAAATAAGAGATTGCTTCAGTGTCTAGCACTGATAGGTCTGAAAAGTTTGGTTGGTTTTTTGGATTGAAGCAGGACATGATGGTGAGTTCCAAGCATCTGAGGAAACCGAAGAAGGCCAATATGAACATGGCTTCGAGCGTGCGGGCGTTGTGAATGGAGTGGTAGAGTGGAAATGCATTTGGTTAAGATATCTAGAGTTATTGGCTGTCTAGCGTCTGGGCGGGTAGGTTGGGCTCTTTGGATGCCTTTGATGAGCATGCATGTCTGTGAGCTGGCTATTTCTGGGGAGGGTGAATATATTATGGCTTACGGGAATATCGGTGCCAGCAGCCTGAATTCCTGGAAAGCAGAATGGGAGAGAGTGTCAACTATTTGATTTTTGGTTCCAGGATTGTGCGGGACGATGGTGGTGTGAGCTGGCTTGGAGTTTTTTGTTGGCGTTGAGATGGGAGATGAATGAAGTGATGGTGAGCAGTGAAAAAATTGGGGAAAGGCAGGTTGTGAGCGTGGTGAAAATTTTAAAAACATTCCAAGCTGTTAAGTAGGATTGGAGGGTCCTGGGGGAGACGGACTGGAGAATAGAACTGAGGGAGGCATCTAGAAAGGTTTTATATATATGTGTGTGGCGTGACATGTGGCCAAGTATGGTTACCCATACTAGGAATTAGTGCTCTGCATTTAACCCATCCTAAGTGCACACACACAGCAGTGAA